TGCACCCCGTGTCATGTAGGGATGTAATGTATGTGCAGCTGTGACAACATTCAGAACTTCATTTCCTAAAGTATATTTTCAAAAGGAAGATTTATTAAGTAAATACAATACATAAATAAAATACAAATTTGTATGCTTTTCGGATTGCCATTCTTTTTAAAAGTTGTTTTCTGTAACTAAAATAAATAAATAAATAGATTAATGGTCTTAATATGGTTACTGTAATGTAAACCTAATATAAAAAGTCAGATGCTTCAGTAGAGTACTCTCAGCATATTGGCAACGTTTTTAATAAAAATGTTAAAATTAATTCTGGGCAGGCAAGACGGCTCATCACGTAAAGAGAGGTCCTTGCCCCCACGCCTGGTTGCTCCCTGGGCAGCCTACGTAGTGGAAGGAGAGGACCAGCACCTCAAGCTGTCTGCATCTACTCCATAGTGTGAGCATGCCCACCCTCCACACATAAAAAAAATATATTTTTTTTAATTTAAAAACTAATTCTTAGTATAATACAGGAAAAAAAAGAGTATTGCTATCATGGTAAATTTGTAAATTAGAAGTTTTGTAATTTTGATCCAATTGTCATGGTCCAACCTTGAATCCTGGCACTCGGGAGACAGAGGCAGGAGGATCTCTGTGAGTCCCAGGCCAGCCAGGGCTATGGAGTGAGACCCGGAATGTCTGTCACGTTTCTCACACCTGTCTGGTGCCCTGTGTTTGGTGTAACAAAGGTGGCAGTAGATCCTGCTGCCCTTTGTCACAGCACAGGCTGTGTGTTTTGTGTCTTCGTGAACAGCTGGAGTCCGAATAGACCACTTGGCCGAGCGATTTCTTTTGTCTTCTGATAGGAAGGAGTAGACTCTGGAAAGGCAAGTAAGTTCCAGAAATGGTAGCCAGTCCTTCCCTTTGACTTGAAAATGCTGAGGAAAATTGCACAAGTCAAAAACCTACCCACAATGCTCCTCATCCTAATGCACCCATTTCAGACTTTATTTTTATATTGTATTCCCCTTTTATTCACGTAATCAAGCACCTATGCTTTGACTGACTTTTCGTGTGATCTTTGTCTGAGTGTGTTTAGTCTTGGCGATCATCTCGGCCACAGCACTCTGACTCCGCACTTAAGTGCGTCTCGGTTTCGTGGTTACTGTGGGCGATGCAGTAACAGTGACAGTCTGACCAGTTGTCTGGGATTTCACACGCTGTTGCTGAAGTCTCTCTGCTCTGTGCGGTTTGTCTTTATACCCTGTTCGTTTGTATAAATAAATGTCTCGATGGTTTCTTTCTCTGTTACATGACTTATGTGCAGTAAGTGCTTAGCACAAATATTTTTCATGGCCTGTCTTGGTTTCTTTTCCAGGGCCTGTGATTAAATGTCCTGACAAAGGCGACCGATAGGGGAAGTGCTTATTTTGGCTTTGGTTCAAGGGTACAGCCGGTCAGAGCAGGGGAGTCGAGCTGCTTGGCGGCGCACTCCACAGGCAGGACTAGCAAGCCACAAATGCTAGCACTCACGGGTTCTCTCCATTTCCCACAGCCCGGGACCCCTGCCTCGGGAATGGCCCTGTGCGCTGCTAAGCTAATACAGGTCTCCTGCTTCAATTAACCTGGCCAGATCCTCCTCCCAGGCATGCCAAAGGCCCGTCTCGCAGACTCCGGAGCCCACCAAGCTGGCAGCACCGAGACCACATGTCTTGCCTTTTAAACTTCGGTTCTGCTGCCCATACTTGCTGACTTGTTTCTTCCTCCAAAGCTGTTGAAATATATTAAAGTTTGAAGTGTTTTCGCTTTCATGGCTAGCTGGAACCAAGACAAAGCTCTGAGAAAGTTAAAGATTCATCCTTTTTAAAATTTTCATCAAAACGGAGAAATATATGTGAGTTATGTATCTTAGGCCTGAAGATACTTGGCATGATGAAGTCATTTTACTTACAGGCAAAGGCAAGTTAGGATTTTCTGAAGATACCCCAGGATGGGGCATACCAGATCACCTCATTTTCATTCCTTCTTTCTTTTCTTTCTTTCTTTTTCTCTCGAGACAGGATTTCTCTGTGTAACAGGCCTGGCTGTCCTGGAACTCACTTTGTAGACCTCGAACCCACAGAGATCTGCCTGCCTCTGCCTCCCAAGTGCTGGGTTTAAAGGCATGCACCACCACCATCTGCACGCCCTTTTGATTTTGATTCTTTAAGCCTCACGTTTTTGAGAAATATTGTGTTTCACCTGAAAGTTGTTTAAAATAGTCAAAGAATTATTTTCTGACCTTAAAATCCACGAACATCAAAATAATGAGAATTTGTTCTTTACAAACTCAACCTTGCGATTGGTGAACAAGGGATAAACTCTCATTTCCCCGTGCTCACCGGATCCTCCTTTCTTCCGTAGTGAATTAATTGTTGATTTCTGACTCATTGGGAGTCACCCATCTGGGTGGTTCAGTTTCTGCCCCTCTGACTAGATTGAAATCCATATCAAATAGTAAACATTTACAGGTTCAGTTAGCTGGTGAGTTGTTCTGTTTCAAAGGAAGAAAGTAATTTTCGTTGCATCATGATCTGGATAATGAAAAACGTGATTCAAAGGCGCTCTACAGTGCCGTGCGTTTATCGAACAGATGAAGAAAATGGTGTGACGTTTGGGCACTGAAATTATTGTATTAACCTTCAATTGTAAATAGACGTCTTAAACTGTTTAGTGCCTAAGGTGTGTGCGAGCGGTTCTAGCTTGCCCTGGCCCTCTGTTAAAGGCAGATGTTAGGAACGCATTACATGGCACTCAGATCGGCGGTACCTTCATTAGCAACACGTAAATTAAGTTTTCAAATAGTATGTTTTCAGATTGATGTTAAAAATGCTGAAACCAGTCATAAAGTTGTTAGGGGGTTGTTTTCTATTTCATTTCTCTTAGAAAACTATGTAATACGCTTATTTCTGTGTCTAGCATTACTCAGCTCTTTGGTGGTAGGAAAAGGTAGGAAAATCACTTCGTCTCTGAGGGACTCACTAGCTTGCCTTTGGCAAAGGAGACAGCCTGGCCTGTCTCTAAAAACCCTGCCAGAGTCAAGTCCTGGGCTGTGTGTTCTCAGAAACTCATTCCTCAGGAACTTGGGTTTTACTGCATTATTGATTCTGGAGGTTTTTCACCCTTCATTTCTTGTATTGTACACGCCTTCTAGTTATTAGTCTTTTCATCGTGGGCATCCACCCCTCTTTCATGGTCCCCATCTCTTTATCCCTCTGCTCTCAATCCCGAGTTTCCTCAGCTCTCTTTTCCAGATGCTTCCTTCTGCAGTGACTGTTTATTCTGCTTTATTTCTAAAACATCACAGTATATTATATATAATGTATTATTTAAAATCTGCCTCTCCCTCCCCATGGCTCAAAGGATGGAACCCAGGACCTCATTCGTGTTTAGACAGTGTCCTACCACTGAGCTGAACCCCAAAGCTCCGTGTTGTCTTAGTCCTTCATCAGGCTTTCTATGAACGTGGATTTTTTAACTTCTATTAATGACTTAATATGTATGCAGAGAATTACTCACCAGTGTATAGCTTCACATGGTTCAGAGACAGGACACATATGTAACCTGTGTGTAAATCAAGCAGCAGAACTCTCCTAACCCTGCCTGCCCCTAGGCTCTGTGGCTTTTGGGGTCACTCGCACCCTGCTCCCACCCAGTACCACACTGTGTTTTTATTATCTCGTCTGTTTTGTGCTTTATATAAGTGTGAGCACACGGTCTGTACACATCCATGTCTGCTCAAGATGTGAGTGTGTGTGTGTTCTTTATTTTGCTGCTGTCTTAGCCCAGGCTGTTACAGCAAACACCACAGATGGGACTGGCTCAGCCAGCAGCTGTTTACTTTGGGGCAGGGTGCCAGCATGGTCTTGTTCCTGATCAAGTGTCTTCTGGCTCACCAAGCCCTCTTGGGACAGAGAAGAAAGTCCTCTGTCCCCTTCTCTTCACACAGGGCACTAATCTCATCACAGACTCTAACACATGGAAATAACAGGAAGGGAGCTAATACAACGTCACACTCTGAACTCTCTAGTGTTTGCTTCCTGGTGAAAGTGAATCCGCGTTTGCATCGGCTGTGTCTAAGTGGAGTCTAGTTCGTAAGGTGCACGACCTAAGGGTACGTAAGGTCGTACGGTGTACATGTGTGAAGCTTTGGTAGCTGCCAGGGCAGGCTCTCAAAGCTTTCCAGCAGTGCCTCGGGATTCTGGCGTGCCACATCGGCACCGGCACTAAATATTCTCTTAGCTATTTACAGAGGTATTTGTGTCACCACAGGGCCCCTCTTATAGTCCCCCCCATGTCCCCGTCTCCCCCCCCACACCCTCTCTCCTCCCACACTCCTAGTTTCCCCTCCCCCACTCCCAGCCTCCCCACACATCCATATTCCCAATCTCCCCCCCCCCACACCCCCAGCCTCCCCAGTTATGTTTGGCCTGACTCTTTAGTCTATTTCCTAGCTAACCTTGTCTGTTTAGTGGTTTAGTCTGTTCTAGTAATTCATTTACCCGAATTTCTTTTTTAAAGATTTATGCTTATTATTTTTAAAACTAAGTATAGGCGTGTGTATCTGTGTCTGTCTGTCTGCATGTGGGTATGTGCACATGAGTACAGGTGCCCACAGAGGCATGGAAGCCCCTGGAGCTGGAGTTACAGGTGGTTCTAAACCATCTGACATGGATGCCGGAAACCAAACTCCTGATCCTCTGGAAGAGAAATGCTGGTGAACCAAGAACCACCCACATTCCAGAACCTGGTGTCCCCAACCTGCCTTCAGGGACTCGGTGCCAGCAGCCCATCACCGGCTG